CACACATATATATATATATATATAGATATATATATATATATTAGCACAGAGCAGGAGAAATTTGTTTATGTACAGTACTTACATTAATAGACTTAACCCAGTTTAACTAAAAAATTATCAACAGATGTCTTTGTAAACTAGAGTCCTCAGTGTTCCCTATGTTGTTCTAGTTTATCAACTTGTGACTTAGTAAACCTAAATCTATATCTTGAAAATTCCCCTTTTAGTAGAAAATCCATGTGGGTTAATCCCGAATATGTAACCTTTAAGTGTATTTTCTAATTTAATGTACCATTTGTTATTGGGTGAGTTTTCAAACTACAGTCTCATGTCTTTCATACTTTGTTCAGTTACTGTTATAATTGATCAACTGTTGTCTTCATAAGCTAGAATGTTATTGTTATAAGTGATCATGCCTTTATAAACTAGAATCTGTTTTCCTAGCTTACAAAGACATCAATTCAGACTTTCTATTGCAAATAATCAAGAGATTTCCTTGCAACTTACAATTTCAACTTTAATATATTAAACTGGTCTGACCTCCTTCTACAATCAGTTTATTGTCTACATAAAATTAAAACTCCAACTTTTCGGTTAATTGTTTAGACTCAATCTTTACAACTGATATCTTTGTGAAATAGAATATTACTACATACATATATATCACACACACACATGCAGGGTGTTTGTTTTTTTTTGCCAAACCCCCTATTTTTCTAATGTGAAGAAATTATGCTTATATAGTTACAGAACAGCTGTTTATGGTACTTAACATTTTCTACATAGTCTACATTTTTCTGATTAAGCATTAGCATTTTTGGCTTTGCACCATACATGTTGGCTTTTGATCTCGCAAATTAGAACCCCCTATCAAACATTCTGCATAAAGGCCTGTATATATATATTGATCTGACTTGTTACAAGTGATATCTCTGAAAACTAGAATTTCCCCCTTTTCTGTTCATTGGTCAGACTTTTTATTTCATATAATTAACTAATATCTTTATATATATATAGTTTTAAGTTGTCTTTTAACACATAGTAATTGTTGTAAACTATAATCCCTTTCCTTTCTGTATATTGAGCTGATTTCTTGTTACACATTACAAATGATCAACTAATAACACTGTAAGCCCAAATTTCTTAATGCTGTTCAGGTCAGATAAATACTATGTTAAATAATACTTTAATATCTTAATGTTGGTTAAACAAATATTCACAGCCTTCCAAAGGTAAAATTACATTTTGTTTTTATAAACATTTCAAGTAAATTTACAACCCAAGACCCAAAACAAATTTGATTCAAAATGTTACAATATTTTAATCATTCAATATAGCTTTCACGTCAACATCGAAAATGTCAAAAATTCAAGTAACCCATTTAACAAAAACCTTTACAATAACATACTAGTATTAATACCAGAATAATAATTTCAGTAAATCAGTACCACAGTACACTTCATTAGAACAAATACCATGATATGTAGATTAACATGTTATACATTAACCAACTACATACTTTAATTTCAAATGCTTAATTATGTATGATGGTCAATACATAGTTCATCAAAATATATTCTTAGGGTTGAGATAAAAAAAGAAAAAAAACACATATGGGTATTTGTATAGATGTGTATATTAATACACACAAACAATATACAAAGCCTGAAATATTAGGTACTAATAACTGTAATGCCCTTTATATTGCATTAAAAAAGTTTTGGTATTTTTTTGAAGGAAAGGACTTTATTCTATGTACTTGAATCAAATCATCTGTTTTAAGTTACATGTTATTTACAATGCAATTCGCAAACTGTTTTAACTTGTTCATACTTTCCTATATAAAATTTTCTGACAACCGTTGTAAGCTATCTTCCCCATTTGCTAAAATGTTCAACTTTTAACAAACGTATTAAAATTTAAAATCATGTTGTAAGACATTATCTTATAATGTTAAATAAAACACATCAAAGGTATGGTTACACCATATCATCCACCCTTGTAATCTAGATATACCAGATCAGAAATGTCATCCTTAACTGTTAACAAGACATATCAAGGGTAAGAGGACACTTTGTAAACATATCACTCTGCTTTAACTAGATATTCCATGTTAAGGCTATACAAATTCAAAAATATCATTTTGCTCCTTTTTTATGAGTTATGTTAAGGCTACATCAATTCAGACACACCATCCTCTCTGTTTGCTAGACATATGAAGGTTTTGTTTCACTTCATGCTGGACAAGTGATTTTCTTCTGTTAATCACATATAACAAGGTTAAGAACAACTCCATGTCATACATGTATCCATTCTGTTATCTAGACATATCAAAATTGGGGTTACTTCATGTCAACCACAATTCTATCTGTTAATCAAACATATCAAGCTTTAGGATAACTCCATGTCTATTAACTAGGTATACCAAATGTACAACTACACAACATGAAACATACTTTCCTACTTTATTAACTATACATACCAAGGTACATGGGTAAAAGTATAACATATCAGACAATTTGTGTTGGTCTGTTAAAGAGGCATTAAACTTCCTAGGGGATATTTAAGATTTGTACACAAAACAAACAACTTGTATAAAACATAAGCTGATGTAGGTTTAACAAACATCTATGTTGTACTAAGTGAATAATAACAAAAACATCAATAACTAAGTTATGAAGAGCCACAAAAAATATCCAGTAATATATATGAATACATGCACATCATTACATTTAATCAAATAATCTTGCATAAGTTACATATTGATAATTAAAGAGTTAAGATTGTTACTTTAACATAAAAGATATTTAGTAAAAGAAAAATTCTTAGTATTTAGAAGTGATACTTGTACACATTATGTCTTCAGTGATATTTACATTTCAGAGAATGTATACAACTTTTCTCCAGCTCTATCAACATTAAAAATATTATAGAAAAAATCTGCTAATTCTCTCAAAACCTAACATTCTTTGCTGAGAAACAGAAAAATTCCATCATTAAGATGTAAAAAGACCTTTAACAGACATGACAGTTACACATTCTGAACAAAAATCAGTTGCAACCTAAGAGGGTTAGATCATATAAAGTGGATAAGAATCCATATAACAGAAATGTATTCAAAATACAGAATGTGATATTGGTTTAAGACTGTTCACTAAATGAGATTCTACTCAAAAATGGTATGATTATTACACTTATTATAGATAGTAAAATATTATCAGTGACATGGCAACTTCTCAGTATTAATTAATCCACAATGAAGGAATCAAAACAATAATGTTCATTATACACTGAACACAAGTCTTTCATTTAAATGTTTAAATAAAATTTATTTGTTGAGTTTCCACAATAATGATAAATGTTTGGTTCAATGCACATAAACATTCAGTAGTATGATTTTACATATGAAGTCAAACTATTATTGTGTTAGTTAATAAAACTACAATTACTAAAGAGTGAACATAGACATGTTCATGCAATTTGAAAATATGTTTGGTTCTATGTATATATAAATGTTATGCAAAAATATTAATGACAACAATCTTTTTAAGTTCAATTTCCAATATACAACCAGAATTTTTAAAAGCTATGTCATTTAACTAAAAGTTTTAAAATTTTATTAAAATCTAAGGAAACTGAAAATCCTATATTAATGTTTACAGATTAATTAGCAATTTCATATTCACTCTTAAGGTAAGCTAGCAATTCATCAACTTAAAATTAAAAACAAATTCTATTATTTTATGTTTTTGTTGAAGTAGTTTAGTAAAACTTTAGTTAGAGATCATACACTAACATTAATTCAGTTTTAAGGTAATTAACAATTTACCAAAGGACATTTTAATTTTAATTATATCTAAAAGTTTGCAATTATTTCAAAGATTATTCACCTATTTTGTTTGCATTCAAAGATTAGAACAATAATTAAATTTTTTGACTGGGTAATATCCAACTCTAATTCACTCTAAGAAATTTCCAGTAAAATTCAATTACCATGCTAATTATCAAATATAACTTTACTGTGATAATTATCCAATTATTCAATCATTTTTAGTTTATATAAATGATTATATTCACAAGTATATGCTTTAACTTGCTTTAGGCTTTCATAGCTCAAACAATAAACTTGTATGAAGTACAAATGCACTCAAATATTTAACAGTTTCATGAAATGAAAAACATCAATATTAAACATTTTAAGAAACCTTTCTGTCTATCATCTACAACAGTGAATGAATTATACATCAACACTACCATGATTAAAGAAACCTGATAATATGAGAGTTTTCCCACAATGCCTCTAATGAAGGAATTACCTTCTGAAACAGCATGGGTTATCAAAGTTTCTTTAATTATGATGTATCTAATTTTTTATTCTACATGCTTTCCAAGTATTATGGATATCATTAACGATGCCAGTATGTTTCACATAATGTCATTATTTCTTGTCTGAGTAGCATGCTTTAATATTTCAGTATTAAATATTCTCAGTGTTAACAGTTATGATGAATTTCTTACATTTGAACTTCAAAAGCTTTAACCGTTTTCTGCAAGAAAGGGTTAGTTGTGCTTGTACTGTTTCGACTGGCGAGAGCAGCCCATTCAGCATCAAAGGGATCTCCAGAATGTGACTGGGTTCTCTGGTTTGGTTGATATGCATTACCATTTACCCAGGGGCTAGCAGAAGACTCAGCTGAAGTCCTAGTATTTTGTCTGGGTGGGGTGACAAAAACATCTGCAGAATCAAGTGATTGACTTCGCAAATGAGAAAAATTGGGGCTGCTACGTCGAGGAGGTACAACAGGTTGGGGCATTCCATGAGGGATGTTATGGCGAGACAAAGCTAAATCATTGGGGTTAGGATGGCTTCTTACTGCTGCCTTACTGGGACTACCCTGTAAGGCAGCAGTGCTGTATGTAAGCCATGCTTCTGCTGGTGATTCTTGGGAATAATTGCTGCCAACCCATGGGTTTCCTTAAGAGAAATGTTAAAATTTTCAGTATTTTCTTATATCATACAATAAAATAAGGGATAATAAGCTTACAAATGCCCTTAAGTTAACTACTGTAGACTTAGAGAAAAAATTAAGTACCAATAAATTACAATAATTTGCCTACCCAAACCAACATTTGTAACTCAAGTTCTTTGAAACTAGACAAGAAAAACAGGTTCTTCATCAAGAAAAAATACTTTTCACCTTCTTAATAAACTTTTAAGTTACTACTACTCTGGCTTTCATGAAGGGTAGAAAAAAAATCTTTTTCAAGAATGTAAAAAAAAAAAAAATTTTACTACCCAAAAAGAAGATTTGAAAAAACAATTATGCAAGAAGTTTTATTCTGCAATAAACATATATGAATTCCAAATTATACAAAACTAGTATACATAAAGCCAAGAGGAAATTCTTGATAAAATGAATAGTCTTTCCTATATCTGCTTACCACAAAAAACAATATTGTACAGATACTAGATTCCTATTCCCTCCAATTACAATAAGCAACAATTGTTTGGTCATAAGAAAAGTTTTATGTATTCATACGTTAAAGTATAAAACTGAAAAATAACTTGATAAAGTGAATTCCATGACTTCTTGTCCTACATGTACAACAATGAAAAAAAATACTTGATAACAAAATACTGTCAGACCTGAACTACTTGCAAACAATAAATTAATTAACAACAACAATACTGTCTTTCTTCAACTGTTTTCTCAACAAGAAGAAAAATAAACTTTTAAAATTATCCATTTTATTGACAGTCCTTTAAAATAATTTCTTCTTCAAGTTGACTTATTTTTAGATTTTCTGCTTTGAATAAACCATTATTAGGCTAGCATATTAGTACAGCATCAAAAATCAATACTTAGCCTGCTTGTTCTATCACATATGCTAGGATTCTACAATACTGCATATTTATACTCTCTAGTCAACTGAAAAACACTGTTTGAAATATCTTAAATTCATTTACCTGAAGAATGAGCTTGTGGCAGTTGTTGTTGTTCAGTTACTTGTTGTATAAATGGACTGTCACTGCTGGACAAAAAGGACAACCCTTGTGAAAGCTGTTGACACATAGCACTGATAGAGTCTTGTTTCTCTGGGACTGGAGAACTCTCAGGAATAGGTGTAACTACAGGGAAGACATTCTAGAATGTTTAAGAAGTATAAAACTAAAGAATAGCTATATATATACAACTACATAGCAGGATTTCTAAAATGTTTGAGGATTAAAAACTTAAGAACAGCTAAACAGGGGTGATATTCTAGAATGTTTAATAGGTAAAAATTCATGCACCTTCAGAAGGAGACATTACAGAATATCCGTGAAGTAAACTATCAAGAATTGGTGTAATACAACTACAGAAGAAACATTTTACAACGTTTAAGAAGTAAACCTACAGGAAATATTATATATTCAACTATAGGAGACTTGAAGTTAAAAAAAACTCCCAGGAACAAATGTATTGTTACAAGGGAAATGTTACAGAACATTTAAAAAGTACAAGCTCTTAGAAACAAGTGTGAATGTAACAGCAAGGAAAATATTGTAGAATGTTTACAAGTATAATACTGAATAACAGGTGTACGTGTAACTACCTGAAAAATAATGTAATGTGTTTATGTAAAAACTCTTGAGACAAGTGTACATGTAACTGTAGAGGAGACACTGAAGGATGTTTTAAGAATTAAAAATATCTTAATAACAGGTGTAAATGAAAGAACAAGAAAAATTCTGTAGGATGTTTAAAAAGTAAAAACCTCAGGAACAGGTTAAATAGTAAAGAATCCAAGAGTAGAAATAATTATACAGAAACTATTCCCACAAAAGACATTCACACAATAGTTTCTACCTTCAGGAATTATGTGACCATACAAATGGCACTGTAGACTAAGTAAGCATTAAAAAACTATCATTATTAATTTTCATTTTTAAGTAAATTAATCCTTAAACTTAATACTGGTTCCTTCTCCCTGTCTCACCTACTGGTCCATTCTGGCGAGAGAACAAGTCAGTAGATTCCAATGACATGGATCGCTGACGTTCCACAGTAGAGGGTAGTTCATTCAGACGTAAAGACAGCTGACGTTTGAAGGGTGTCACCTGACTAAGAGATGAAAAACCCCGGAAGGACCCCTGACGCTCAAGCATAACAGGTGTGGCATGAGGTCTTTCCACTGCATAGGGATTGTGTACTGGCTTAACTGGTGGAGGCTCTGAAACAACAAATATGCCTTTATGGAAGAAATATTTTAAAAGATGTAAAACTTATAATCACAAGAAATATCTCTTTGAATTATTCTACATTATCACATGTATCTGCCAAATAAATGAATAATAACAGTTTGTACCTTTAATTTATAGCTTGATTCCTTCTCTACGTTTATTCTAAAGCTAACTTACCTGAAGGTTTACATTCTTGAGGGTCTTTCAACCTCTCTGTAAAAGGGGCTTGTTTAAAAGAACCCATACGGGTAAAAGTTGCTGTTTTTGGATCAAAGTTCATCATTACAGCCTCTTTTTCACGCTTCTGTTTCTTTTCCAAGCAAACAGCAAATGCACATCCTACAGCATGACTCAATCTTTCTCCCTTGGAAGGAAAATAACAAAAGTAAATTGTAAAAGAAAATATTAAATGTTCATATAATTTCTTATAAAAATTTGAGATAGTAGAAAAATATTTTAAAAATTATCAGCTTCAAAATCTGCATCACTACAAACCTTTGTTCATACAAGTGTTTAAAATCAGCCACACATCATAATATTGCTTTACTATATTGGGTCAAAAATGTTCATCTTCAGATTATAATAAAAAAACGTTATGATGTTATATGAAACACAAACTAAGATGGAGAAAAGTGTGTATATTGCAAAGTAAACATAAAAAATTTTTTTTTTGTACTAACTGAGTCTTTCATGGCTAAGAAACCATGACAAATCCACCGGCGAGTGGTTCCATCACGACAAATATAAGAGAATCCTCTCTCATGGTTTCTGTCAGGTGCACAGAATGACACCTTTTCTATTGTTTGATCAACTATCAGACCCTGAAGGAAAAAAAAAACAGAGGGAACATTCATGTAGAAAATTAATCAGATCCACAAAACATGACTATTGTTACATTCACAGAGAAGCTACTGACCTAGCCTATGTAACATATAATATAGTATTGCTATTGAAGTGCATAAAGATATTACTATGGTGTTCTATACAGATAACTTTTATAATGTAACCCATATATCTTTAAAACCAATTATTTTTAGGTTTATTGATGGGTTGCATTGGTCTATGTTACACAAATCTAATCAAACACACCTTAGGTGTGAAAAAAGGTGTGGCCAAAAAAGGATTGAGCATGCAACTTAAAGGAATGAGATCAAAATTGGTGGACAAACTTGTAGCTACACTTATAGTACTGGTAAGAATTTTACAGCAAATATTCATTCCTTAGTTAGCCAGGCCACATATTTTGTTCAACTTGGGGCATGATGGTGGGTTTCTAACCATTACTCTTGTCTTACCTTTGTGTTATCATCTACTATTCTAAACCCATCTCCTGTCACATTCAGTACATCCTTTATTGGTCTTATCTTTGTACCATCAGCTACTACTCTCAAGTCATTTCTTGTCATATTCAGTACGTCCTTTATTGGTCTTATCTTTGTACCATCATTTACTATTCTAAACCCATTTCCTGTCACATTCAGTACGTCCTTTATTTGTCTTATCTTTGTACCATCATTTACTATTCTAAACCCATTTCCTGTCACATTCAGTACGTCCTTTATTTGTCTTATCTTTGTACCATCATCTGCTATTCTAAACCCATTTCCTGTCACATTCAGTACGTCCTTTATTTGTCTTACCTTTGTATCATCAGCTACTACTCTCAAGTCATTTCTTGTCATATTCAGTATGTCTTTTATTAGTCTTATCTTTGTACCATCAGCTACTACTCTCAACCCATTTCCTGTCACATTCAATATATCTTTTATTTGTCTTACCTTTGTGTCATCATCTACTACTCTTAACCCATCTCCTGTCACATATAGCACACCCTTTATTGGCCTCTTCCTAGAGTTCTGCAATGAGCATAAGCATAAAAATATAATGTATGTATAAAACACATCTGACACTTAATACTCCTACATTATCTAACACACACAATTGTATTAAACCTGATATTTTTTTTTTAATTTATCTCTTATTTAATAGCTTTATTGTTATTCTCCCATACAAATACATATTAATGGTACTTGGTAGCTTACTTTTCTCACAAGTGAAAGTATAACTAGTATTGAATGGCTTAATATTTTTACACATAACTACATCTATAATCAATCACATAATAATCTGACATATATGAAATCAAAAAGGTTTACATAATATAATACTCTTACACAGAAATATATTTGATTCCCATGTAACCTAAAAAAAAACCTTTCAAACCCTCTCCTCACATTCTACCCCTAAATGTGCTCTATCATTTTTGCCATTAGAAATTTAAAAGCTTGTTTTAAATATATTATAAACCTTTTATGTTCTATATCAAACTCACTTTTATGTATTCAGAATTTTCTCAATTTATCATTTGCCTAACACATACAAGCCATCTTCAATACTCTTATGTTCACTTATTTTATGCCCAATATATAAAGTACCAATGTTATTCTTAGAAAATCCACTTTATGTTTAACATTCACTAAACCCAATTTATCCTCAGAATTTTTAAACCTTCTTATATTTTCAATATAAGCTGTATCAAATCAAGCAACAGGAACTGGAAATTATTAATATTTTACTCATAATATGCATCATAATCAAACCTAACCTCTGAAATGTTCCTGCCTTTTCACACATTATATTAACAATATGTAATATATTATGCTCCCTGTCAGGTTTTCAAAACTCTAATCTGTTTACACAAAAATTTTTTGCAACAAACTCACCCTCAGAACTTTTAGTGCCTCTTCACATATTTGCATCCCTCTTGATTCAAACACCTCCAAGCAACCCAAGTACTGAAAATTAATCAATGAAATAAAAATAAAAGTTAATGATCTAAAAATTAAGCACATTTTGTGACTATGTAATATTATTTTGTATGTACATGTATACATTCATTTAAATTTCAACAGATCACAATTGCTCAAAAAAAAAAAGCCTTGTCCTATAATTCCCATATTTTAGAATATATGTGTGTGTGTGTATATATATTACCTATCCTAGGTTCATAGATCTAATCATATCTCTTTAATGGGATTGGGATTTTAAATCTAAATACCACTTTATGTGTACATGGGCTAAACAGCCAGATCAGGCACCCCCAATATCCCTAAATTTGAAAAACTGATCAGATGGAAGACAGCCAAACAGCAGCATTTGCTGAGATTGACTGTCACTTTTATAACATGCCCATGGCTGACAGTGAGATGCATGTTCAGTGGCATAACATCTTGAACTCTAATAATTATATATATATCTTATTTTAGGAAAAATGTTAAGAATGGTTCTAACCTTTACTGGGAAATTACATGTTCCATCCCTTACTGCAACCTCGTCTGCCTGCCACTGGTGAGGTTTACTGGAATCAGGAATGTGTTCTTTCTTTTTACGAAAACTGTCCCGAAAACTTCTCCTTAACTTATCCATCACTAGAAAGCAAAATATATATTGAATGTGAGTGACTAAAGTGCCTAACTAATTATATGTACTAATGTTTACACATTACTAGCATAGAGCCCATCAAAAATGACTGAGCAAGTACTATCACCCCACCCCATAGTATATCCTAATCTCACATTTCATAGCTAACTGAAATAAACACATTTTGCAAAATCAAGCTTGACCAACAATGAGGCAGAAAGGACAGTTGAGACAATCAAACGTCAGTAAATTCCTTTGTGATCCAATCCAAATTAAGATCATTCATTAAATGAATTTGTGGAGTATTCATAGAATAATTATTGGAAAAAATCAGTTAGATTAAAAACTTCTAATGTATCGAAAAGCCAGTGCATTTTGGTATCACTATGTTCCAACAATGGCTTTTATGTCATGTTGCTTAGCAACAAAAATATAACCTAATATTGTT